CGTATTACTAGTGTATTGTATTTATTTTAGCCCTACTTCCCTTTTCTTAAGTGGTTACTCCACTTTTCAGGCATTAAGAACTTTTTCTTAATGACTTGCCTGTAAAAATAAAGGTAAAAAAAAAAAAGTTTCTCTCATGTACCACTTTATAACCTATGATGCTGACTATCAAATGTTTCTGTTTTTCCTATTTTTCTTAGCATCAACATGCTGAAACTGCCAGAATACCCAAGCCAGGACGTCCTCAGAGACAGACTACTGGTGGCTCTGCACTGTGGCAGCTATGGCTACACCATGGCCTAAACATCCCATGCTGTTAGGTTTTCATCTTCTTCATATTTGTACTGTTATTATTATTATCATTGTTATTATCATTAAGTTGTAACAAAATGCTGGGAAAACTGAAACTCTGCACACATCTGTGCCAGAACTTGAATCCTATTATTTGTTAATTTTATTTACTCCTCAGTTAGTACTGTTTACATCACTTATTTATCACTTAAGGTGTGAAAACCCCAGAAGGAATGATGCTAAATGTGTTTGAAGAGGATTCTGTATGTTCCAGAAGGTGGTCAGTCGTCTGTCCAATCATTACAGCTTCGTCATATTAGAGGTTTGAGCTAATAGGAGCTTTAGCCAAAATAACAGAACAAAGGGAATCTTGTTTGTTTCTAACAGTTTCTACTACAGTGGAATAAGAATAAAACTTTAAAACATTGCCGGGAAACCAGGTTTAAGAAAAAAAAAAATGTTTTTATTCCATATAAGTTAAACTGTTTGCTATTGTAAAACCAAGTCAGTTGCCAAACTATTACATAGGGACTGTTTTTCACTTCATTTTGCTCCTTCACCCTAGCATTAACACCGTGTCCCTTCCTACTTCTATTTATGACCAATATTCCCCCTGTTTGAACACCATGTCTATTTTTAAAAGGATTTTCATGCGTTCTTTCTGTCATGCATACTTCTGTTTATCTGTGTTTGGCTGATTATCGAGATACATTTTTGTTAAAAAGATAACTGAAAGGTTTGTCCACAGAGTAACGATGAAAAATTCCATGTGAAACGAGGGCGCTGAATGAGTAATGAAACCATTTATGATCTGTACGTTTAAAATACTGTATCACTATTTTCCATAATGGACTAAATGTAAAGTATTCTGCAGGAGGAAGAGAAAAAAACATATTGAATCCTGGTTTGACAAATCTTGTACACCACAAAAAGTCAACTAAACGTGTCTAAAATGGAAAAAAAGTTTAGAAAAAATAAATAAATAAATAATCTCCATTATCTCATTTCTAGTGTCTATATTGTTATAATTGGGGCCGAAATACTAATTTCTCTGGGAGATGGTTTACTTAACTGTCAGAGGACGGGAAAATGCACATATTTAAAAGTTAGTTTTTTCTTTTTAACTGTTTTTAAGTTAAAGTTTTGCATTGTAAAATTACTCAAATTGTAAAGATGTGAAAAACAAAGGGAAAACATGGATGGAAAAAAATGCTGATTTTTTAAATTAAAGTTCAGAAAATTGGTCCAACTCATCCTTAACCTGTCTGAGAAGATTTGTTCTGTTAAGAGAGAGTATTATTGTTTTTATCACTCAATCCAAGAGGCGGTTTATTCACTGAGCTTAAGAAACGTTTTCCCCATCGTCATTTACCACGAAGCCTGTTCCTTTGATTTGGATCAGATCGGCACACTGCAAAAAAACAAGCCAGAAATAAGTAAAAATGTCTTAAATCAACTGTATTTTTGATTAATTTTAGTAGGTAAATAGGATTATTAGCCAATGGAATGAGTATTTTAAATCTTAAAATAAGATAATTGAATACACTGGAAAAACAATCTAGAAATTAGTAAGAAATTCTTAAATTAAGTGTATTTACCCTTAATTTGAGTAGGTAAATGAGATGATTTGCCATGCAATGAGTATTTTAACTCTTAAAATAGGATAATTAGATAAAATGCACTTGAAATAAGACAATGCAACTGTGTTTTATTATTTTAAATGTAAATTGTCTTGTTCTATTGGCAAAAGGTCTCTTTTACCTTCTCAATTCGAGAACAAATGCACTTATTTTAAGAGAAAGGGACTTATCTAGATTTAAATATTTGCAGTGCAGCAAAGTTATTCAAGGAGGTTTTTTTATTAACGGAAACAAAGTTCTGCCTTGGGTGCCAGTGTAGAATGAACAGTTTGGCCCTTACATTAAATTAATGTTTGAAAAGCACCAAAGCTTAAGTATAAAACATAAAACTAAACACATCTCAGCACCGATCAAACATCAATGATGATGTTTATAATAAACTTTGCTATTTCCGTCTACAGAACATTTTGCAGACAGAAATGAGGCCGTTTAACTCAATCTCTCCATTTATTTCTGACTGAAAATCTTCTGGCCGCTTCTAAAGACCGAACATTTAACTGTGATGGAGACGATGGGCTGTGCGATGTGTTGATGGGGGTCCAAAGTGTTCTCCATTTCCTGCCACAGCCCCTGGAGCTCTCCCATCAAACTCCACACATGGTGTCATGTGGATGACTTCAGAGTCGTACTGCATTTGATGTTTTGCTGTGTTCTGACCATCAATATTCGGAGTGAAACCTTTTTTATTTGTTTTCACCCAAATGTTCTGCTTGCAGTGCCATAAAACAGTGAAACCTTTATACATTCCTTATTCTACTGATGAAAATAATCATGCTAAAGAAGGTTTCCAATGTGATGATGAATGTGTTGCATCCTTCCTTTTCTTCTCTAAAGGGAAATCAGGCGTTTATTTGTTTTATCGGTTAATGTTTCAGTGTTGTTTTCAGTTCCTTGCTGGAAACACAATCTTGTTCACTGTAAATAAGTCTTTATAAATATTGAACTGTACATTTCCTCAGCCTTGCATAGTGTATTTTACTTTATGTATTTAGGTTTGATCCAATAAAGAAATGATTTCCTAATCTGAGTGAGTTTGTTCTCCTGATCTGCGCAGCATTTGTTATTTTTTTTAACCTGCTAGTTTTGGATCAGAGTTTGTTTCCTTTGGTTCTGACTTGTTTAGGTGAGATTATTCTCCAGTGAACCAAGGCCCCTTTTTAAACTGGGCCTCCAGACTCCAGAAACTTTATTTTTGCTATGAATGCAAACTGGGCTCAATCAGAACCAAATACAGGAAACATACCCTTATTTTGGACTAAATAC